TTCCTCCTTATCTTCCGCCTTTCATTTTTGGCTTAGTCTTTGCTATTTCTTTTTTGCGTTTTGCAGAACGTATCTTGCCCGGAAAAGGAACAGCGTGATGGATTTGTTTTCATGCGTGCATGTGTGTATGTAATTTCCATTGTTTCTATCCTACAAAACTTCTAATCTCTCCATATCAACCTGCACGTTTCTTGCCTTACAATGTCACACCCACCCTGCCTTTTCCCGCATTGTCTCTGATGTGGCAACTGTGATCCTGCGGTCCTTGGGGATGTCAGATGCAGCCTAGCGCAGCAGCCCAGTGCCGTTGGTCAATTTCACCGCCTCAGGCAAAAGGTAATCAAGGCAAGGAAACAATGCGACCACAAGTTAACTACCGGCAAAGGGCGGGCAATTAAGAAGCGGCAACACTGTAGTGCAGCCGGCTTCCCAGGCGCCCCAGGCATCTCCGGCTCATGATACACCAGAAGCACAGCAATCAGCGGGCAATTCAAACCCAGTTTTAAACAATCACCACAAGAAAAGCCCAGGAACGCAAGGGCAGGAGAGACAAAAGAAGCAGATCAGAACACAATAGAAACTGGCTGAATCTGCCATCAAGGTGAGGGGAAGGAAGATCGCCATGAACAGAGGGGCAGCCCAGAGCAAGGGCAAGGGGCGGAACCGAGGGGTACTGTGGGTCAAGGGGAGAGCCCTATAAAAAGACTGTAAGAAACCATGCCAAGCCAATCCTGGCTTTGTAACTGTTACGCATTACGCCTGAGTAAACTAACTTTCATCTGAGCTTGTGTCTCACGAGGTTTTTGTTCAGCGCCAAATGCAGTGATCCTTATAGGGGAAAGACTCAAGGCCTTGGGAATGTGGGTGCAAGATGGCCTTGCAAGATTCTCTTTGCAATTCAGCCCCCCTGGGATGCCCCACAGAGAACTCTGGGGGTTCCAGGCCATAAAACCTGCTCCTTGCGTAGCCAGGTGAGCAGATGCAAGGGACCCCTGGTCTGGGATGCAGCCACTGGCAGACCCTCCCCTCGGGCAGACCAGCGGTCAGTTTCCATGGCTGAGCCTGCCTGGCAGGGGCTCTTTCCAGGTGAGCAGGCAGGGCAAGGGCTGGAGAGGCCAAGAGGGGTCTGGGCAAGGGCACAGGCAGCTGCTGGATGATGGGAACTCTAGTTGCTGCTGGTCCCTAGGCTTGATCTTGACCTCGCAGAGTAAAGAAAGATCTATAGGTAGTAGTAATTTAACCATTTCTGCACTGTGAGAGCCAGTTTGGTGTAATGGTTAAAGGCACAAGTCTAGAAGCCAGGAGGCTGTGAATTTCCCCTCTTAGGCACATCTGTGTCTTGGGAACCAGGCCGAGGGCAGAGGCAGCAGCTGAGTGACGGGAATGCTAGCCTTGGATGGTTCTGCTCTGTGTCCACCTGGTCCTGCTCTGTTGCCAGTCCAAAATTAACTGGGAAGGTTTAAACTAAACCGGAAGGGGGAGGAAGGTGGACCCCAGATTCAGGTAGAGAAGTTCTGTGCCTCAGGAATGTGGCTGCACATGGGAGTGGAACGGGAGGAAATGATGCTCAGAAATCCTCAAGCCGTGATGGTACGGAGACCAATAAATACTGGGGTGCCTGATCTCCAGGGTCAGTACCTGAATGCACTGAGCGTGGTTAGCCAGCCAACTAAAAATCCTGACTTGGGAAAGTAAATATGACCATTTGGGCGTCAAGGGATAGTCAAAAGAAATCGACCCAACAAAAATGGAGGTGAAGAAGCCGTGGACCTCTACAGAAAGTCATGATCTCAAATCTGGAGGTCCTCCTGTGGAAAGCATCTGGGTCAGAGGAAAAGGAGGAAGAAACCAGGGGATGCCCTTGGGGGACTCTGCTAGAGGCCCCCACCCAGGCAGAGCTTTCGGGAACCACTTTCTAAGTCCACTCAGCAAGTTTTCAGGAGGGCAAACTGTGGTAAAGGGAGACCTCCCCTCTCCCAGGATCTGCTGGGGAACTGGCTCTGGAGCAAGTTACCGGGGTCCAATAGGTTTTTCATCTCTCTTGCTGACTATTTCATGTTTCAGAAGATGGAAGAAACAAGGGGTCAGCTGTCCCATAAGTAACCTTGAGCAGGAGAGAGGAAGCAATCAACAGATGGAAGGTGTCAGGCACCGGGGCAGAACTGACCACCACATCATGCTGGCATTAAAGCCAATGGGGAGGAGGGCTGGAGAAGTCAGTCAGCTATCTTGGATTTCAAGAGGACAGGTGTTACTGAGCTCAGGTGAAAGGTGGGCAGAATAAATGGCCTGAAATCCTGAAGCATAAACAAGCCCAAGAGGGGTCAGGGATCCTGAAAGCCCAGGTGCATCTGATCCTATGG